AGTTCTTCTTAAAAGTTACTCTTTATTGCCGCGTATAATTTTCGTTTGTCTAATAGTAGACTGTCTGGTAAATTAGTTGCATCTTGTGAAGCACTTACCTACTGATGTCGTGTCGGACCGTCTCTTTCTATTTGATGTAGTAAATTGACCGTAGCATTTGCTGTTCTGTGCGCTTTGTTGTAAGTTACCGTCATTTTGAGCTCTGTACCACGATGGAGAACCTGTCTAGTATCATGTAATTCCCCAAAAGAAAAATGCTGACGAATGTCCAATAACTGATTTTATTCACAGCCAGTGGGAACATAATGATTTACTCAAGACTGTTAGTGTTTGTTTGAAAACACAATTTAAATTGTCAGTTTTTTCATGAGATTTCATAAAAGTGACCATACAGTTATACCACCAAATAAAGAAACCGGTCCTGGTAGGTTTCTATGACACCATAAATACATGAACTTTCACCGACATGTGAAAATCAAAACATGAACGTGGGGCCTTCCACCGCACCGATTAAATTTAAGGGTGGAAGAACTAACGGAAAATGTTAAAATTCCAGTTCGATAGCAGGACCTTCAACGGACTAAATTTACACAAGTATAGAATACAGTTAGGGCGATAGACGGTATGACCGATGATCTGGTTATCTATTGTGTTCCTACGCGCACTTCTGGGGGTGTGCCCAATAGTTTTTCAAGCTTCGAGTGATTATGCAAGTTTAGCAGATATATTCTCCGAAATCCCTGACGGGAGTCAACCGAAGTCTTCCTAACCCTTTTTGTTCTGCCTAAAGAGCGTCTTAAACCTTGGTGCAAGTTAAGATGTCGCGTCGTGTATTGAGTTTCCGAGTTTAGATTTGCTGCCCATCTCACCAGCGGTTCTTTATTGAAGGCCCCGGTAAACAATATCGACTATTCACATCTGAAAAGCTGACCACGTTTCGAAGGGCTCCACCATCGAAGGTAAGATGGGACCTGCACTCATGAAAAAATTAGAATGGCGCACAAACTTCAGTTAATGCCCAGGACGTTAAGGAAAAGTCTGATAATTTTCTTATCACCGAAAAATGGAGGCAAACCTGAGAGGAAGCAGAACAGTAGGTTTAATATGAAAAAGTCACTAGTGAATCTATCGGGAAAAGCAGTTAAACGAAACGGAATAGGGAGCTGGAAGCGAGGGAACAAATGAAAAGAAGAAAGCACCAAATATGCCCGGTGCTCATGATTTTCTGCCAATTCCATGTTGGGCTCCACAGATTTCCGAGAGACAAGTCGAAATAAGCTAGTTTTGGCGGTTCCGATGACCCGCGCGCTTATCTACACCGGAAATGGGTGTGGGCACGAGTCATCATGATGTTTTTGAGAAAAGTGGCCGGGTGGAACCAAAGAGAGAGTTCCTGTGAAACAGCCAGGGTTAGTGGGGAATTGCAGTGATTTTATTTAGCATAAGTGCAATGAGAACAGTATTTAATCAGAGATTGGCGTAGGGCCAAAGTTCGACAGAGAATCACTAAAAGGCTGAGCGGGTGACGAGTGGGTACGGGGGTGGACGATCCAGTTCTACGGGTGCTCTTCTGCGCAAACAGTGATCTTTAAACATAGTTACACTGTTATCATACAGGCTATGGGCCGTAGGTCGGATCCAATCAAAATATGAAGGGTTTGCAGTGGCTGGAGGTGGAACTAAATTTGACACCTTGGTCAATCATGGTGGCAAGGGGCGCGCCAAAAATGGTGAACCAAAGACTGACAAGGGTCTCAAATGCGGTTAGTGACTCTATCAGATGAAGAACGTGGCTCTCATCGCACCGCATAGGGGTCAGCGCTAACCGAGAATTAGGGACAGCCATCCAGTTGGGAAAACTGGCAGGCATATAGTAAAGTTGCACTTAGAGTTCTTTTGCCTGGGAATAATATTGTCTGAGGATATAATCACTAATTAAAAATGCACTAATTCCTTTCTGAAATTCCTAAATTTTGCTGACAGTGCAGTCGGGTGAGGCCTACGAGCTCATTCTGTGTGATCGGCGCCGAGCCGACAGTGTTACTTCGTGTATAAAACTCTTTAAAACCGAAACTTTTTCGAGCACATAAATGTGGACTGCACCCTACATGAAGAACAAGTTAATGTAACAAACAGAAAAGAGGTCGTGAATAAAAAGAGTTACCAGTGCAGTATGTTTACGAGCCTGTAATTGGGGAGCATTGAGGCCCTGGTCGGCTGCTGAAGCGCGTCCACGCTGTTCGCAAAATATTTCCAATTATCCTTCCAGTGTCATGGACGTAAGTGGTTAAAATCAGGAAGAATAAGCAAATCTAAATATATTGACACTGTCAGGAAAATGCGGGATGGGTGTTTAGACTCTTTATTGGTGTCGAACCCTTCGATAATCAAATCAGAATATGACAACAGAAACGCAGACTTCGCTCTTGAAGCAATGAAATCCCTAAGATACATTGCGATCGATATTGTAACAGCGGATCTCATGCATGTTCCAGGAGCTGCGTCGGAAATGAGGAACCAAGCACATGACCCCACCACTGCTTCGTTTTCGGTTAAACGACTGCGACATATCAAAGGAATATTGATACGGTCGTACCCAGTCATCATCCGTGGGTGACAATAAGGCGATCGAACATCAAGGATCACCGCCTTTCTACTGAAGTTTAGTAACAGATTCTAGCTGCGGTATAGTCTTACCCAGTTGCAATGGCGAAAAAGGAGACTGGCGGGCGGGCCCTGAAAAGAGGGTGATAGGTTGTTCGCCCTGAGGGAGCAGGAAAATGGTTAGTACTCCTGCAGCAAGCCAAGCACACATGCGTACATACACAAGGGACCTTATCTTAGCCCAGTATACATGCTGATGTATGCATGCTAACTGGCACAGTGACGTCGTTCCCCACTAATCACGTTTGGATTCTGCCCTCTAGAAAACTCGGAATCTGAGCTTTCATATATACTCGAAGGTGCGACCCCACGCAATTTCGAACATTTGCATTATCTTAGCGGTTATCTCCATTCTCGGTGCAGAAATATGCTTCCACTAAGCAGAACTCGGCACGCGCTAGTGATAGGATCCACGAACTTTATCATACGTTGCATGTACAAATATCTTAATAATTTATATCTTACCCGGTTTTAAATTATGAAAATTGTCTGTCTCCGCTTCCAGAAAAAAATCATTTCACGCGGCAATCACCGGCAGGTTTGAGATGCTCTGAGACTAGAAAAAGTGATAATGACCAAATGAAGCTTACATGTTGGTGCGAGGGCACGAGATGAATCGACTTTTGACAGAGAAAGCTATAAAAAGTTGAATGAACAAAAATTCCATGTTTTCCTAACAACTAAAGCCCAGTCACATTTTGAATAACGATCGCAAACGTAGTGTGGGGACCTCGGTTGTGAGTATTGCGTTTTAGAGAAAGTTCAGTCTCGAGAGACAAAGCTTGTTCGTTCACTTTACAATTTGATACATTCGACTTAGCCTGACACACCCGAATGCTTATCCAGAATAAATGAAGACTGCGCTTACATTTCGTCTAAAATGATACAGACCAACTTGCACCGATTATACGAATATGGATTCTCATGTAAAAGACTTGTCCTCTAAAATCCCATGTGCTGCCTTAGAAACCGTTCTGACCGAGCGTATGACCAAAAGACAGGCATTTGACATCCACATAGCACGTCATCGAACAATGAAGTGAGTTGTACAGCGAGACAACCTCCGCGGTTTATTATGCGCTATTAAAGAAATAGCCGGACTCATGGAGAAAGATTGAGCGAGTTGAAGAGAGGAAGAGCACGCCTGTTGGGCCTAGTTTTATAGATTCAACCACTTGACAGTACGCATTATCAGACATTCTCCGACAAATTAGTATGCAGTTAAGGATATCTTTCTGACTGAATGGCATTACTGACAAAGATAAGCGAGACGGGAATGGCCAATTCTGGCTTATTAGCCGTCGTCAGCCAGCCATACCCAACCCCGAAGTGTGGAACACCCGAGGCTCGAACTCGCGACCTGCTATTTAGAAGTCAACGCCTCTAACCACTAGGCCACGAGCCCGTTGCCTTATCGGTTTGGATTGGGAATATACAATGGTACGGGGCGCTCGCCGATCGTCCTTACGGAACTCACTCGTTCCGTAAGGACGATCGGCGAGCGCCCCCTACCATCTTTCTGACTCTTATCGTACCCGTATTAATGCAAATAACACGTCATTTTACTAATTTTAAATTCCTCACTTGTGATGAGGGTGCTTATATTTTCATTTTACTTGCGAACTTTATAAATTAGTCAAGTCCCCTCCGAAAGATATGAAACAAATTTAGTTTTCTTTCGGCTCAAAGATTTTTTCGTATTTTTGATTAGCCTGATACAAGATAATGTCGCTCCAACCTGGCCATAATTTGCTATGTTCGCTTCCTCCATCGACATTCCCGGCTGTAGAATTCTGGTAAGCGTCTAGTTGCTAGCTGCGTGCAATAGTTGCATGGACACTTCAAATATCTTATTTGTCGGAATTTGCCGAGTATGGCCGTGAACTCATTATTGTAAAAAAATGTGTCTGGGAAATCTACTAACAGTCCCCGGGCTTGACTTGAACTTTTCTGGCGTTGAATTTCATGGAGTTACATCGACATATGCCGAGTGTCAAAATACTTCGGATAAATAAAGAGGGAAAAGGGACACGTGTGAATTTTGCTGCAGCAAGGACTACTGAAAAGGGAGGGCTGATTAACAGAATTCTAGGGACAGTAGCGACTGGAGAGACTTGAACTGTTACACAGGGACAGTTACACAACAGATTGCAACTTCAGATTCGAGGGACAAAACCACAACAATATAAAAATCTTAAATCAAATTAAGGGCAAATTTATGGTTATTTCCCACAACCGGCTTTGATTTCATTACGAACTCATATTTTTTGTTTCCTTTGTTTTAGTTTATAAACTTGTGCACATATCCTGTAGTCTGAAGGATCGCTTCCAGAGAAATGGCTGCCCAACCGAAGGTTAGTCGAGCGGAGAACGACAATGCTGACGCGGTAACAGGTGCGTATCTGGCAACTTTCTTCTACATTTGGCTTTTTTCGTGTCCACTTCCATGACACTTATTTCCTTCCAGAGCTTGATCATGAAATCCTCGAAAGCGTCGATGCTGTGCAGGAGGCTATTGACAGCCTCAACAAACAAGCCAGCGCCGAAATTCTCAGGGTAGAACAGAAGTTCAATGTCATGCGGAAACCGCACTATAAACAACGTGCTGATCTCCTCGCCAAAATCCCGAACTTCTGGCTGACAGTTTTCATGAATCACCTGCAGATTCGCAAAATGATCACGGAGGAGGACGAAAAGGTCCTAACCCACCTGAAGGCAGTCGAAGTTCAGGAGTTCGATGACATAACCTCTGGCTACAAGATTCACTTTGTAAGAACTTCTTTTAGCTTCTATATCCCTCCATAGCACTTTAACAAGAACGATTACTTCAAGAACGAAGTTATCACAAAAGAGTACCGTGTCGGTGAGAAGGGGGAGCCAACTGCGACTTCAACAAAGATCGAATGGTTCCCTGATAAAGACCTGACGGAGATGAAGGACAATGGTCGCGAGGGTCAAAAACGACCCTATCCACAGCAGTCGAGCTTTTTCTGCTGGTTCTCGGATGACTGGGATGCTGTGGGCGATGTTATCGGCGAAAGCATCAAAGATGAACTATGGCCAAACCCCCTGCAGTTCTACTTGAACCCTGATCTGGACTCGGATGACGTTGAAGGTAGGTAAAACAAAACTATTTTGCTCAGGACTGAATTAACAACAAATAACAGACGACATTTTAGATGAAGATGAGGAGGACGAAGACGAAGAGGATGACGAGGATGGCAACGAACTGGGCTACGACGAACTCGCCGACCGCGAAGACGCACCCAAGTCGTCATAACTTCTCGACCCACGAAATCTACACTGACTGACAAATCAAGCCGTTACCCTATATTTTCATTTGCATAAGGCATGGGTGATTTGTACCGGTAAACTTCGTGTATCGTGCTTTTGTACAGAAACAACATTTTATGCGCTACGTCCGCTGTCATCCTTAAAAATTACCGTTCGCTGTTTGCCCATTTGGAGGTCAATTTTCCCGATCTGCATTTATGTTTGTTTTTTAACTACAATCAGGTTTACCAATCGTGTTGTTCACTGAAAGTAGTTGGTTCTTGTCAGTATGCGTTCCGTGCGACCCTACGACCACTGCGCCCGACGTCTTTGGCGTTTGGCTCCGTCGGCCTTGTCATTTGTCAGTCGGCCTTAGCTTGTCTTTTATTCCTTATTTTGGGTCCTGTCTCTACTGAGCTGCGTATTTTGGCACGATGGTGAACAGATGTTCTCAATCTTCGCCCTAGCTGGTATACGAGTCTGGTCAACAAGCTTCGATGTCCAGCTAGCCAGCATGGTCCCGTTAGCAAGACTGAAAGTTTGGTGGGCTATATTGATTTATGTGTTGTGGATTCACACATCGTGCATAAGGGGGGCCGAGGTTTGCGACACCCTAGGCTTGTTTCGGTTCTCGGCCAAGGGAATGTCACCTGCTCGGCCGTAGTCACTCAGCTGCAAATAGCCGGGCAAAACTGCTTGCAGAGGTCTGGTGGGTTCTGGTCTTGAACGGTCACACGTCCCCCTATCACGCCGTGCAGTAAACTACCTGCAGTCTGTGAGCTAGTCGTTCTGACTGGTCGGCACTTGCTCCTCGCTCAACGTTTCCAGCACTGGGCGGTGCACGTGGATTAGGCTTTTTGAGATTTTTCGAGACCCATAGGAAAAGACTTGGCGCGCGCCGCAGGTCACAGCCGGGACGCAGGTGCAACCATGTATTCACCTGTTGTCCGCACGGTACGGCAATCTCCGGTGCCCTGGTCTGTGGAACCTCTGAACCCCCGTCGGTCGAGGGCGTTGATAGGCCGTAAGTGGTTACAGTCAAACCACTTCTTACTGGTATTAATAGTGCCGGCAGGCCGGGTTTGGTGTCCAGACGGGGCTAGTATCGGCGCGCAAGGGTGAGTCTGACCGCTTACGTCGTCCGGGTCTAGGCGGTATGGGTGCCCACTGGGGTGCAGTTGCTATTTTGTAACTCGTGTTGCCTAGGACAATAAGATCCTACGAGCATGGTACGTGTGACAACTGGCACCGGGGGCCATCCGATCCCTCCCTATCGTAGGCTAGAAGGGGTTGACATGGTCTGGCAGGTCGCGCAGGTGCGTGTGCTCTATGAGAGAGACTAGAAAGGCAACGGGGTCACAAACGTCGCGAAAACAGAGGAAGACTACGTGGTGCCGTAGGACATTCACTCAATCTGGCGGCCTGGAGTCATGTCTAAGCGACTAACGTGCATGCAACCAGGAAGGAGTGCCGGTTGAAGCGATCTTCGAGCAGAAATGGTGTGGGACTGGAGTGAATTAAGCAAATAATCTACTCCATGAGTCCTATTTGTACGGGTTGGGTTCGGCACAACTGTTAGAGGCCTGTTTTCTAAAACGACGAGAAGTGACGGCTAACATAGTATCCACCGTGTACTCCATAGCAGGGCGGGAGCAGGGACAGTGGATTCCGGGCAAATCATTATATAGTGACGGTAGTCTTGTGATGTGTCGGCCGCACTCCCTCATTCTCTCCCACCTAGGCCCAGTGTCATGACAATCAAGAAAGCCGGAGTCAGGATTAGACTCAGCGACTGACTGATCTAGACAGCTCCTCTACGCATGTCGCACGCCTAGTCTGCGTATGATAGAACAGTTCTTCACGCAAACCACGAAGCGGTTTATCTCAGATTCCAGCTGAATGGGATGCATAGTGGTCACATTGAAAAGGAGCTATTGCAACCTGATTTCCCGTCCACAGAGGAGGACTGGGTCTGTTGGCAGCTCTCTAAACCGTGGCCTTTAGAGCACGGTGATAGTTCAAGAGCTCGTCGGCTTATTTATAGTAAGAAATATGCTCTGAGCGCCGTTGAGATGTGGTTCGCAGTCAGCCTCACTCTCCCCTCTCTCATCCACCAGTTGACCGTCCAGGCTGGTCTGTCACCTGATACTAGGATTAAGCGCGAGTGGCTGGCTGAGCCGGACAACCTGATGTGAGATCCTGAAAACAATGAAGGCGTAGGTATGCCCCGCATCACTCCGCAGCTGCAAATGGACGACCAAGAAAGGTAGAGGTGATCCCGTGAATACCTTCTAGACAGAATGAGAGCGGGCTCAAATGAGTCTGACCATTAGCGGCCAACCTCCTTCCATCTATGCTCATTGCCGGAGCACCTTCAACATCCTGATTGGCGATGTGAGAAAGCTTCCAGCCCACCAACTTGGACACACGCGTCCACTGCGACAACGTAATCGCCATGTAAACGTCAAGGCAACATCGACAGGCTGGTAAAAATAACAGTAATGGGCTCTCGTGTATAACCAATCTAGCGCATACGTTAGCACCAAAACCGAAATTTTGAATCCTAGCATATTTGCGGATTGGTTGTTTGAAATTATTCAAACCGAAGCACAGAGTGACGTCCAACATGCACAGTCAGTGACAGGCAGCTCATGCAGTTGCATATAAACGCAGTAGAATCAGTGTGAATTAGCAGGGACGACATCGACGTAACGGTGTTCACGGGTAGGCTTTGAGCATTTAAAATAAACAAGCATTCGTGGCATTCCCCCATGAAACGAGTGGCTGAAGTATCAAAGAACGCGCAGGAAGCCCATAAAATAGACTTGCTTCCAATTACACTAAGCATTTGTAAAGGTTGCACTCAGAAAATCCCCCTAAAATTGCAAAACACATCCGGTAGCTTTTCAGACATCTCAACGAAATCCCA